ATTATCCTCCTCCTCTTCCTTCCCGCAATGCTGTTCTGACTGCGTACAGAACAGGCCATGCGTTTACTTTTTAATGTGTGCGTACAGTTGTTACCGTTATGCAAATCCGGTGCGAAGTGTGCACGAAACATAATTTTTCCATTTTGCGTACGCGCTTCGAACGCTATGTGCTCGCTCGTCCGCCATCCATCGAGCCTACAGGCATTTTTCTCAACCGATCCTCCATTTTTTGCAAGCGCGTTTCCGAGTGAGGAATATAATTTCATAGGCGGCTTTCGAAGCATGGGTTCGTTAGGAAATTAAATTGCGCTCAATAATTAGGCTTCATTTTAAATGTCACCATTCTTAATACCTGCCGCTGCGGCGGGGGTGTCAGTTAAGTAACGTGGCGCGGCATTTCGAGCGCGGATGTAATCTGCGTGGGAAGCTGTGTGGCAAGCGCAAAATCCCCCCCCTCCGTCATGTCTCGTTCTACCGAATCGTTATCCGAGCAAAGTGTGTTTTTTGTTGTTGTTCGCAGCGTGTTTGTTCTGCGAGCATTCTACGATTTCGCGCGCGCGCTGCAATTACATTACCTCTTCATCCGCCTCGATGACGTCACGTCGTTCCTGCATGTGTGGCATTTCGTCACCAGGCGGCCGTGACACGGGCTAATCCGGGATTGGGAAGCCAGTCCGCGCTTCGTGAGGCTTCTCCGGCAGGCATCGCACGATGGGCGGCGATGCGATCGCGCTGGCCGCCCGCCGCCGCGTGCGCGCTGTCAGCGTATCAGCGCACCGGAAGGCTAAGATGCTGTCCCGATTTATGCTAAGAACATAATAGCATTAGCGCGTCTCCTCGGAGGAAAGTTCGGAGTTTCGTTCGCGTTCGGAGAAAACTCGCGCGGGAAACTCATTAGACGCCCGTCTCTGGTTCCCTTGTTAGCGAAGACAGCCGAGGAGATTTTGTTATCGAATTCGTTTAATCGCGTCCACGGTGGTGTAGATAGCGCGTGCAGACGTTGACACGCATATGCCGAGTAATGGCGGTAAATGGAGGGCTTATCCGCGCCACTATTATTTCACTGCGCGCATTAATCCCGGCAGGGCGTGCGAAAATATGCGGTGCTCAGTATGATACTTACAATAAACCAACAGAGCGTCACATATTAAATGCGATGTCAAGACATAATAACTTTAATCGACATCCGGATAACACTGTCGACGCTGGCATAGCATCGTGGGCAAATTTCGCCGGGTCTTATAGAGGGTTGACATAAGTGTACCTTGTGATCGCTAATGGGCGTTTCATCGACCGATTTTTATTCCGATACGCGGTAAGCGCATTTTTTCTAGCACGATTTTGACTCGATAACCGCTTTCAATTTCCAGCAGCCGAGCAGGAACTGCTGAGCCGTCGCGCGATTATCTTCCGTGATTAGCGTAACCGTCGGCACGGAAATTATGTCTCGGACTTCGTAATTATCCGTCAGTAGTTACCGCCACTATAGACGTTCGGGCGGCCCACTCAGCCGCCCCACCTTAAAAAGACCCGAGAAAGAAAGAGGCTGAGCCCCTCGCGCAAGAACAACTTTTGCTAATTCCGGATCGGCGTTTTCTTCGTGTTCGGTGTGCGGTTCCGCTCAGATCCGTGCCTTATGCCGCCGCTGCGCTGTAACCTGTAAGTCTGGCATTCCGCTCGGTTTCATTAATATCAGCTTTGCGGCTAATTCATTGGTCTCCGGTAACAACGCTCGACGCTCAGCCAAGTCTTGTCGAAAAGCGACTCGGTCGCTCGACTGTACGCGCACGGTCTCTGTGTGCGTCGTGTGGACATGCCAACGACTATGAATGGGTGACGATATATGAATATGACCAGGAGCGTATAATGACAAATATATTTGTCATTATACGCTCCTGATATAACGTATAATTCACATGAATGTATTATTAAATTTCATCCATACGTGATGATAGTGTGTCTTCTAAGCAAACGAAATATATATATATATATATATAATATGTGTGTGTGTGTGTGTGTGTGTCGTGTGTGCTGGATGTGTGTGTATGTGTGTGTGGTATGTGTGTGTGTGTGTGATGTGTGTGTGTGGGTGTGTGTTGTTGTGTGTGTGTGTGTGGTGTGTGTGTGTGTGTGTTGCGTTGTGTTGTGTGAGCTGCTTACTGGCTATGTTGACGAAGCTGCTGTGAGATTACGTCCGGTATTGCGCTGGCTCGTAAAAGCGCGTTACGCTGATTAGTCAGACATAATGTTGATTACGATCGTCTGCTACGGTATTATCTCGGCACGTCTACAACAGTCGTACGTACGTACCTACGTGCATATACCCACGCACATATCTATACGAAATTGATGAGAAAATGCTGCAGTGGTTGAGCGTGTTATATACCGTGGCGATATCAGCGGTGATTCACCTAGACGCTTAGTACACGCAATCTGCTTGCATCTGTGACATGTTCAGCAAGCAGCTATGACGAGTATGAGATGTGCGCCTGGCTATCGCAACATTTGTCATAGATTCGTAAACTCTACGAGGAATATAGTGATAGCTGTATGGACCGTCTTTGACATACGTAGCTTGTAATCTGATTGAGCGCCTATAGGCAATTGATGAGGCAAGGCGATTCAAATTTGATCGCCTTATTCTTACATTCATCGCTCACTTCACTATTATCGTTCATAGCCTGTTTATTCCTTCATAGCCTGTCGCTTATTTTTTTGCACAGCAGTCTGATCTGCATATAAACATTTAGGGTAAACATTGGGGAAATTATAATCGCTGCTCGAAGCATATAGTAAACTAGCTGATACTATATTTACATGTTAGGCGTTAGTCGAATTAGGTAAAATTCGCATCGGATACCACGTAAACAATTAGCATATTCTAAACACGTTCCAAAATTGCACTTATTCTCATTAACTATACTAACTATTTGCCTAACTGACCAGCGCGCAGTATAGTCAGGTCCCTTAGCTTCATGATCGTTACAGAGCTAACAAAAGCATCAGAAGCTTCGGCAGCAGTTGTAGCCTACTAATAAATAATTAGAGGGGGTGCCCATGTAGAGATATGTTCTTAGAAGTGCAATTCAGGAATAATTAAATGTTTGAACGCGCGCTGTACGTGGCCGATTCATAATACAGCTGCTGTTAACCCCCCCCCGCGTGCGGCATACGTGATTGCGGCTATAGGCGGCATGAAAGTGTATTAACTCTCATATCTCGCAAACGAATTGAGCTACATTTCTAGAAATCTAGATACATATAAACACATGTTTTAGTCCCGTGAATTTGGAGTTTATTGAACCACGAATAGTTTAATTAATTACCAAACATATACGCACGGTATCGCCCAGAGTTACATTTTCTAAAATTCTAGATACATATAAACACATGCATTAGCTATTGTTTCTGTAAATTTTGAGTTTGTTAAAGCACGAATAGTTTAATTAATATACGCACGGTATCGCCCGTAGACTAATATATACGCGCGGCTATGGCCCGTAGGATAGTGTACCAACTCTAATATCTCGCGAAGGATTTGAGTTACATTTTCTACAATTTTAGATACATATAAACACATGTTTTAGCTATGGTCTCTGTGAATTTTGAGTTTGTTAAAGCAAGAATAGTTTAATTAATTACCAAACATATACGTACAGTATTGCTCATAAGCTAAGATATACGCGCGGCTATGGCCCGTAGGATAGTGTACTAACTCTAATATCTCGCGAAGAATTTGAGTTACATTTCTAAAATTATAGATACCTATAAACACATGGCTTAGCTATGGTCTCTGCGAATTTTGAGTTTGTTAAAGTACGAATAGTTTAATTAATTACCAAACATATACGCACGGTATCGCTCATAGGCTAATATATACGGCCACATTGAAAATGCGTGTTTAAAAAAGAAACGAGACGGTGGACGGCCAGGTAGAAACATACAAGTGCAGTCTGTATACGCGGTGCAGGATGACGGTTACTCAAAGGAGCCCATTTTACACCATTCGAATTTGGGTACAGTTAAGCACAGCTCACCCATCTATGTACATCCCAGGATTGAGGAAGAGAATTTCAGTATGGAGCTGGATACGGGAACGTCAGTGTCGATCATCTCGGAGAGGGACTATAGAAACTCCCAGGAACTGATAGTGTTAACCTCGAGAAATCAGGTAACATCTTGCGCGCATATTCCGGTCATCAAATTAAATCAATCGGGAAGCTACATGTTACTGTTCAACTAAATAGACAGGAGGAGAAGTTGGACTTGCTAGTTGTACCTACAGATGACCCAAGGTTGTTTTGTAGGGACTGGCTGGCCAACCTGCGCATGAATTGGCAAAAAGTCAAGTCGCTCAAGGCACTATCGACCAATAGCTCCAAGACACTGGAATCGTTATTGGAGGAACACAAGGTAATATTCCAGCCCGGAATTGGAAAACTGAAAAACATCCAGGGTTCCCTCACTTTGGAAAATGATGTGAAGCCTCGATTTCACAAAGCTAGGACAGTGCCTTACGCGTTGAAGTCCAAGATCGAAGACGGGTTACAAAACCTACAGCAAGAAGGTATAATCGAACCAGTCGAACACAGTAAATGGGCCACACCCATCGTACCGGCAGTAAAAAAACGGACAAATCCGCATTTGTGGAGACTACCGCATGACACTGAACCCAGTTATGTGTGTAGATAAGTATCCCCTACCGAGAATAAAAGACATCTTTGCTAGTTTGGCGGGTGGACAAAAATTATCCAAGATTGACCTAACCCAGGCATATCACCAGATGAAAATGGACGGGCAGTCGAAGAACATGCTGGTTATGAACACGCACAAGGGATTGTTTTGTTACAACCGCCTGGTTTTTGGTGTGTCAAGTGCATCTTCACAGTGGCAGAGAGCGATTGACCAGGTCCTACAGAACGTTTCATTCACACAATGTATGCTAGATGACATCATTGTTGTCCGGTTGTTCGGATGATAAACACTTGAGCAACCTGAAGATGGTGTTTGAACGGTTGGAGTCATACGGACTCAAGGCAAACTTGGATAAGTGTGAATTTTTCCAAGACAGAATTAGTTACTGTGGACACGAAAAAGATGCACAAGGATCGCACAAGTCTTCCGAGAAGCTCCGAGCGGTGAGGGATACAAGGAGGCCCTAGAGCGGGACAGAGGTTCGTGCTTTTCTCGGTCTCGTGAATTATTACCACCATTTCTTAGAGAACTTGTCGACGGTTGCGGCACCATTGCATGATCTGTTGCATGACGACAAACAGTGGGAATGGACCCCTCTGTGTGAAATGTCATTTCAGCAAATCAAGGACATGATATGCTCTGAAAAGGTACTGTGTCACTTTGATCCGTCACTACGAATGAAGGTAGCGTGCGATGCATCACCATATGGCATTGAATGTGTACTCACGCACGTGTGTCCCGACAACACAGAGAGACCAATAGCGTTTGCGACGCAAACGTTAAACAAAGCCGAGAAAGGGTACTCCCAAATAAACAAGGAAGCTTTGGCCTTGTATTGGGGTGTTCGGAAGTTCAACACGTACCTGTACGGACATAGGTTCACGCTTGTAACGGACCACAAGCCATTACTCGGTATATTCAACCCGTCCAAAGCCCTACCCGTCATGACAGCTGTAAGACTGCAGAGGTATGCGGTGTTTTTGTCCAGTTACCAGTACGACATTGAGTACAAAAGCTCCAAGAAGCATTTGAATGCTGACGCGCTCTTGCGGCTTCCACTGGCGGAAGTGGATACGTTCGAAGGAGACAGTGACCCAGTTGACATTTTCTATACCACACATTGGGAGGGCATTCCAGTGTCGTGTGAGAAAATCTGTACAGAAACGAGACGTAATCCAGTTTTGTCACAAGTGTTGGATTTTGTCGTGAGCAGACATTTTCCTGATCAAAAGAACAGCAATACGCACTTGGCAAATTTTTTGGCACGCAAGGACGAGCTTAATGTGCATCAAGGGTGCCTTATGTGGGGAAACCGGGTGATTGTCACTGAATCGCTGCGATCCAGAGTTCTGGACGAGATACATTCAGGGCATGTTGGCATTGTCAAGATGAAAATGCTAACGCGCTTCTATGTGTGGTGGCCACACAATGACAGAGACATTTAGACAATGTGCAAAGCATGTAGGGGGTGGGTCTCAAGGCAGAACACACCGCCAGCTTCACCTGTTTGCTTGGAGCACCTTGGTATCGGTTACATATCGATTTTGCAGGCCCGTTTAAAGGAGCGATGTTTCTGATAGTCGTGGATGCCTATTCGAAGTGGCCGGAAGTATTCCATATGCAGAGTACGACTAGCACAGCCACAATCAACCAATTGAAAACCTTCTTTGCACGTCAGGGGATTCCAGTTGAGCTTGTCTCGGACAATAGTCCTCAATTTCGTTCAGAAAAGTTCAAGCAGTTCACGACGGCTAACGCAATTTGTCATACGACGTCGGCGCAATTTCATCCGAGAACAAATGGCCTGGCAGAGCGGTTTGTCCAAACGTTCAAACGTGCCATGAATGCAGCACAAGGCAGTTCTGTAAACCAGAGGCTGAACAATGCAAATATCGCATCACACCACATGCGACGACAAATGAATCGCCATCCATGCTGCTGTATGGACGCAACATACGAACACGTTTAGATATGTTGAAGCCGAATCTGGCACAAACAGTCCAACGTAAGCAGATGAGCATGAACACTCGAGATTCTGGTGTTTGACGGCTGGAAGTGGGACAGACGGTGATTACACTTAATTATCGTATCGGTGGAAACAAGTGGGTGCACGGGCAGATTCATTCCCAGACAGGCCCACTATCGTACAAGGTCGACGTCGATGGTACTTTGTGGAGAAGACATCTGGATCAGTTAACATCGGCGGACATTAGTTCAGCAGCACCGCAGAACAGTACCATCCCGGAAATGTCAACTCCAGCGTTCATCTCTGGTGGTAGTCGAAACGCTGGTATGGGGGAGAGTGAGGCCAGTAATAAGAAGGCGACTCCAGCAGTGAGCAGCCCGGAGAAGACTCCAGCAGTGAGCAGCCCGGAGAAAACTCTAACGAGTTTTAGAACACCACCAGTGACTGCAGTCCTGTGGCAGCAGTCCGTCGGAATCCGGCGAGAATCCGGAAGGCTCCAGATCGGCTGAATATGTGACTTTGTAACAATGTTGATTTTCCGTTAATGAGAGTCACTGGTGTTAGGGTAGAGCAACATAGACAGAGACGGTTAAACTATGGATAGCTTTACAAAACTTTTATTCTCAGTCAAGA